TATCAGCGAAGACAACTGTCATCGGCGATGTCCCTGGGGTGTTATGTCAACTGTACAATCCACAAGTACACTACGTGTATCAGTTGTCCCTGGGGTGCTATGTCAACTGTACACTCCACAAGTACACTACATGTATCGGCCATGTCCCTGGGGTTTTATGTCCACTGTATATTCCACAAGTACACTACGTGTATCGGATGTCCCTGGGGTTTTATGCCAACTGTACATTTCACAAGTACACTACGTGTATCAGTTGTCCCTGGGGTGCTATGTCAACTGTACAATCCACAAGTACACTACGTGTATCGAATGTCCCTGGGGTTTTATGTCAACTGTACATTCCACAAGTACACTACATATATCGGCGATGACCCTGGGGTGTTATGTCAACTGTACACTCCACAAGTACACTACGTGTATCGGATGTCTCTGGGGTTTTATGTCAACTCTACAATCCACAAGTACACTACGTGTATCGGATGTCCCTGGGGTGTTATATCAACTGTACACTCGACAAGTACACTACGTGTATCGGATGTCCCTGGGGTGTTATATCAACTGTACATTCCACAAGTACACTACGTGTATCGGATGTCCCTGGGGTGTTATATCAACTGTAAATTTCCACACGTACACTACATATATCGGCGATGACCCTGGGGTGTTATGTCAACTGTACAATCCACAAGTACACTACGTGTATCTTGTCCCTGGGTTTTTATGTCAACTGTACATTCAACGAGTACACAACGTGTATCGGATGTCCCTGGGGTGTTTTGTCAACTGTACACTCCACAAGTACACTACGTGTATCGGATGTCCCTGGGGTGCTATGTCAACTGTACACTCCACAAGTACACTACGTGTATCAGTTGTCCCTGGGGTGTTATGTCAACTGTACACTCCACAAGTACACTACGTGTATCGGATGTCCCTGGGGTGTTACGTCAACTGTACATTCCACAAGTACACTACATATATCGGATGTCCCTGGGGTTTTATGTCAACTGTACATTCCACACGTACACTACATATATCGGCGATGACCCTAGGGTTTTATGTCCACTGTACATTCCACAAGTACACAAGTAACGATACATGAGGTAATGTTAACGACAAACAAGGTAATAAAAACGATACACCAGGTGACATTGGCGTTACACGTGGTTATGTTAACCAGACGATGTGATATTAACAATACATGGATAATATCAGCATTGGATGATATCGGTGATACACGGGGTGATATCGGTGATACACGGGATGATATCGGTGATACACGGGATGATATCGGTGATACACGGGATAATATCGGTGATGCACGGGATGATGTCAGTGATACACGGGATGATATCAATGATACACGGGACAATATCAATGATACACGGGATGATATCGGTGATACACGGGATGATATCAATGATACACGGGATGATATCGGTGATACACTGGGATGATATCAATGATTGACGGGATAATATCAATGATACACGGGATGATATCAATGATTGACGGGACAATATCAATGATACACGGGATGATATCAATGATACACGAGATGATATCGGTGATACACGGGATGATATCAATGATACACGGGACAATATCAATGATACACGGGATGATATCGGTGATACACGGGATGATATCAATGATACACGGGATGATATCGGTGATACACGGGATGATATCAATGATTGACGGGATAATATCAATGATACACGGGATGATATCAATGATTGACGGGACAATATCAATGATACACGGGATGATATCAATGATACACGAGATGATATCGGTGATACACGGGACAATATCAATGATACACGGGATGATATCGGTGATACACGGGATGATAGGGTGATTCACGGGATTATATCAATGATACACGGGATGATATCGGTGATACACGGGACAATATCAATGATACACGGGATGATATCGGTGATACACGGGATGATATCAATGATACACGGGATGATATCGGTGATACACGGGATGATATCAATGATTGACGGGATAATATCAATGATACACGGGATGATATCAATGATTGACGGGACAATATCAATGATACACGGGATGATATCAATGATACACGAGATGATATCGGTGATACACGGGACAATATCAATGATACACGGGATGATATCGGTGATACACGGGATGATAGGGTGATTCACGGGATTATATCAATGATACACGGGATGATATCGGTGATACACGGGACAATATCAATGATACACGGGATGATATCGGTGATACACGGGATTATATCAATGATACACGGGATGATATCAATGATACACGGGACAATATCAATGATACACGGGATTATATCAATGATACACGGGATGATATCAATGATACACGGGATGATATCAATGATACACGGGATGATATCGGTGATAAACGGGATGATATCAATGATACACGGGATGATATCAATGATACACGGGATGATATCGGTGATACACGGGATGATATCAATGATACACGGAATGATATCGGTGATACATGGGATGATATCAATGATACACGGGATGATATCAATGATACACGGGATGATATCAATGATACACGGGATGATATCGGTGATACACGGGATGATATCAATGATACACTGGATGATATCAATGATACACGGGATGATATCGGTGATACACGGGATGATATCAATGATACACGGGATGATATCAATGATCCATAATGTAATACCCAAGTGATATTCATGACAATCGAGGGCACATTTAACAATAAACAAGTCACATTTAACAATAAATAAGACACATTTAACAATAAACAAGACACATTTAACAATAAACAAGACACATTTAACAATAAACAAGACACATTTAACAATAAACAAGACACATTTAACAATAAACAAGTCACATTTAACAATAAACAAGTCACATTTAACAATAAACAAGTCACATTTAACAATAAACAAGTCACATTTAACAATAAACAAGACACATTTAACAATAAACAAGTCACATTTAACAATAAACAAGACACATTTAACAATAAACAAGTCACATTTAACAATAAACAAGACACATTTAACAATAAACAAGACACATTTAACAATAAACAAGACACATTTAACAATAAACAAGTCACATTTAACAATAAACAAGACACATTTAACAATAAACATGACACATTTAACAATAAACAAGTCACATTTAACAATAAACAAGTCACATTTAACAATAAACAAGACACATTTAACAATAAACAAGACACATTAAACAATAAACAAGACACATTTAACAATAAACATGACACATTTAACAATAAACAAGACACATTTAACAATAAACAAGACACATTTAACAATAAACAAGACACATTTAACAATAAACAAGACACATTTAACAATAAACAAGTCACATTTAACAATAAACATGTCACATTTAACAATAAACAAGACACATTAAACAATAAACAAGTCACATTTAACAATAAACAAGACACATTTAACAATAAACAAGTCACATTTAACAATAACACAAGACACATTTAACAATAAACAAGACACATTTAACAATAAACAAGACACATTTAACAATAAACAAGACACATTTAACAATAAACAAGACACATTAAACAATAAACAAGACACATTTAACAATAAACAAGACACATTTAACAATAAACAGTACTGATCGAGGTTATATTACCTCCTGAATGCTAAATACAAACCTGGTTTTGATACACGTGCTATTTTTCAACAATTTACACGGAATGTTGAAGTTTCGTCTAGATATCAACAACGACTACCACGTAATTACGTCATGTAATAACACCAATAACATAAATTACACTTTTACCACACGAGTAATATCATCCTTTGCAGAGTCATGTGATTGGCTGAATGTCCTAATTGTTTCCATTGTGACGTCATAAATTTAAGTATGCGTTAACAGTGACGACAATATATATATATATATATATATATATATATATATATATATATATATTTCACTCGTGGTTTACACTCTAGAAGTGAATCTAGATATTTTGTCATACTCTTGAAATATATATGAAATTAAACTGAAAATCATTAAATAACCTGGCGTATATTGTAATCTACAGTATGTACGTGTGTAGTTAGATTTTATCTCAACCCCTTCTCGAAAGAGCAGACTGGTCCCTTATTGACAGAATAGGTAGAGAAAACACACATTAACTAATATTAGAACACGTGAAGCACACACTACATTATTGACCTAATAACAATAAATTTAATCAGGATATACCAACCCCCATAGATTAGATTTAAAAAATAACTGGAAATCCGAGTTAAACAGCTTTCCAAATCGTCCATTTTTAATGAAAACGTACACCTCAGTATTAATGGTGTCTTACAGACGGATATTTTCTTTTGGTCTGCACAGGACATGGACACACACACTGGTCAATAGTGTGGGTCAATATTGACACTATACTAATGCTGTAGTGTATACATGGCAGATAAGATGGTCAAACATTGGGGAACCAGAAAGTCAACAGTGGCGGTAGTATTTAAACACGGAAAACACGGAATACACATTTGTAAGAGAAAATGGTAAATATGGAACGGTTAAAAATAAAAACACAAGTGCTCTAAATCTCCTCGACTGTGTATCGACCAAAGGAGATATCTGTATAGGACAGTGGGTTCACATACGATCACATACTTATCGCAGAACAAATAACACAATAAGATACTGACTTGCTTAGAATTACTTTATAAACTGTTTCAGAGGGTTTCATTCACAGGTACAAGCATAGCTTACTCTAACTGTCTTTACTTCTTCAGGTTAGTGTAGAATGAAGTGTGCCAATCGAAATGTGATTGATACAAGGGAAGTAACTCTAACAAAAATATGTTTCTGGCATTGCAGAGATTTGTATTTCAAAGAATTATAGCATCCAAAATTTTATGATATCCTAGCTTTTAAACAAACACTTTCTTTCGAAACTATCCTAATATCCACATGCTAGATTGCTTATATTTTCCCCGGCAACGCAACACACGACAGCCATCTCGCTGGATACGGGAGTTCCTGAACGCCATTGATCCATACGTCATTGATGGCGTCGTAACACTCTATAGATCTTAGGATCCTCCCAGCCACTGTAGACACACCTCCTATTATGTAGATCTTCCCACCTAAAACAAAACATGTATTATAATTAAATGATATACCTTTGTTTCAATCTTTTAATTTCTCCAAGAATGCATTTCAGTACCCTCCATAACACCTCTGTAAACAGCTCACTCCATTACCAGATTCCCGAAAAACGTACTTGATAAACAATGCTGTAATATTTGTCTTCCTTAGACATCTATCGTAATCCCTGCTTCATTTTAGTTGTTTGGCATGAATAATTTATCCTCAGCTAATACATATATGCATGTTGGATTATGTTGATGGACAAATTTTTGAGTCAAATATAAAAAAATCACGATTTCCATGAGGTATTTTGGCGTGTCAAAAGTAATTCTATTCTCTTTTGACAATTTGCCATTTCGAACTGAATTATGCATTTATTTGGCTTGTCACCTTATGTTGAATGATTATATAACACAATGACACGTTCAACAATCATTCGTTGACAGAGTCATTATTCCACATGGATACCACCATCTCCGTTCACAGGGGTGCATTGTGACTGTAAGGAATGACAACTCGGGTACAGTTTGAAGGATTTGCTACCTACCAATGACGGCACTTCCGGTGAAGTGTCGTGCCAGCACCATGTCCGTTTTGTGTTCCCAAACGTCACTTCTCTTGTTGTAAACGTCAATGGCAGCTACACTGGTCAGCACGGAGTCGTTAGTAGTAAATGATCTGATTGCACCTCCGCACAGAAACAACTGTCCATTCACCGATACAAGGTTACCATGGCAACGTGGCATACGCAGGTCCTTCTTTGAAGTCCACCTAAGAATCACCAGAGTAAAATCTGCTTTAACATCCAAGTTCTTATCCAAACTTTTGGCAACAAAATTATTGTGTTCTAGAAAATTGACATAGGTTTATTATTTAAAAAAGAAAAAATCTACATTTCAAAACGATGATAATTTATGATAAGAAATGTGTTGTATAATCTACCTTTAATATCATCAAGGCTCTTTGGTCATGATAGATTGCACTCTAAATTTTGATAAGTTATTAAACTACTTACACATTTTCCCGAGGGTCGTAGACTTCGACACTACCTAAGACTGGGAGTCCAGATTTGCTATCGACGGATTCACCGTAACCACCAACAACGTAGAGAGTTCCGTCCTTGACTGCACCTCCCATCCCTAATCTGGCGACTGTCATAGGCTTCACAAAGATCCAGCGGTCCGTCTTAGGGTTGTAACATTCCACGGAGTTAAGGACCCTGCCGAGAAAGTTCACAACATATATTCTTCATCTTTTAAACCATATATAATGTAAGGTATTTAAAAAAGTTTCTGTGGAAGAGAAACCAATATATCAAAGTTTCTAATCGCCATTCAAATGTTATCTTCAAACTCACTGAGAAACTTAAAAAAAAAAAAAATAATTATAAACATAAATGATCACTCCCCCCCCCCCCATTGTACGTATGTAAATATTACGTCTGAGAGTCGACGTAGTCCAGATGCTGTCAACCGTAATGAGATAGAACAAGGGAATTTGTAGATCTGGTTTCGATAGTGTGAAAAAAAACCCGTTATTTATTAGAAAAAAAATATAGTCCCATAGTTTTATAAAAAAAATCCTTTGGGGCTTGACATAGGCACACCTACTACAGACAACTTCAGCTCGTGCTTAAGCACTTATTCCAATTGTTGATTGAACTTAAGGATATAACATGAACATAAACATGATTTACAATAATTTTCATCGGAAAATTTCCTTGTGTAAAATTACCGTGAATTTCCATCTTGTCCACCTATTGCGTATAGCATTCCATAAAGAGAACAGACCACGTGATGCATCCTTGGTGTTGCCATGGACGCTATCTGTTTCCACTCATCCGTCTCCAGGTCATAAACAAACGCATCGCTGGAAGGTATGGATATCTTTTTGGACTTGGATGGGTCCGAACCCCCTAGATCGTGGAAATGAGTGTGTTTTATTGTTACGCTTGTGGTAACAAGACAAATTTTGATAATGACCTCATATTTCAGGACGAATTCTGTTAAATGTTGAACTTGGTAGACAGATTACTTAAGACGAGCAGAAATTGCCATTTATAACCAAAACAATAGTTGATAATTTTATTCTGTAGACAACAAGAGTCCCAAGGGAACTGCATCACTCACCTGGGTAATTTAGGTAATCAGGCAGTTGCTAAAAAAATTCAAGTATGACAAACAAGTTCTGATACAATTTCCCTATTGATTCACTATTTCATAACAAGACCCATCATTTATATAAAATTGAGCCCCTTTTACTCAACAATGTTTCCGATAAAATTTGGGCAAAATACATGAGTAGTAGGCTTTTAACTGTCTCAAAGGTATAACCCAGAAACTATGTCTCAAGGGTTGAGGCAAGACACGGGCCAATTCTTACATCATGACTGTGTTTATCTCTTGATGACCGTCATTGCTATATATGGTTAAAGAGTGGAGATCTCAACGGTTTCATAGATATAGCCAAGAAATCAATTTCAGAGGGGCGGGGCCACACCAAAGGGCCAGTACTTACACCACGAATATGTTTATCTCTTGATGCCCATCATTGCTTTATACAGTTATGGGGAGGGTATCTTAACTGTTTCAAGGATATTACCCAGAAATTAAGTTCCTTGAGGCGAGGCACACCCAGGAATACGCTTTACACTATGACTGAGTTTATCTCTTGATGCCTAGCAATGATATATATGATTATGCGGTGAGGATGTCAACAATTTCAAAGTTATAACTTAGAAATTGATTTCAGAGGGGTGTAGCGGCACGTAAGGGCCAGTTCTTACATCTAGAATATGTTTATCTCTTAATGCTAATCATTAATACATATGTTTATGGAATGGTGATATCATGTGTTCCAAATGTATAACACATTTCCCCTATTGAGCCCATCCCATCCTCCCCTATGGGGCCAATATCCATCACTTATACAAAATTGATTCACCTTCACCTAAACATGCTGATAACCAAATATGGACAAAATCCATTCATTCCTACAGGATGAATAGGGTTTTAAAGAATGACTCTATTTCCCCTATAAGGCCCCACCGTTCAGACCCCATGGGGCAGAGAACTATCGTTTATACAAAATTGATTCCCCTTCACTAGACAATGCTTCAGACCAATTTTGGGTAAAAGTCAGTCATTCCTATAGGAGAAGTAGGATTTTAAAGAGTTTGCTTTATATTCCCAATTCGGCCCTGCCCTTCAGACCCTAAAATGCCAAGAACCAAACTTGATTTTCCTTCACCCAACAATGTTTCCGGTTAAGGAGTAGGACACACCATCCCTAAGGATGCTTCCAACTAAATTTGGTCAAAGTCCCCTTAGTCGTTCATGACAAGTAGCGTTTTGTAGTAAAAAGTCGACATCGACGGACGACGGGCGGAGGACGGACAGACGACGGACACCGCGGTATCCCTAAAGCTCACTTGGTCCTTTGGGTAAGGCATGCTAAAATGTGACAAATTGTTCAATATTCAAACTCATCATATCTGAAAGCTGACTACATGTTCTAACCCAGGGCCACTTTTCAATTGCAGCTGACACATTCTAGATACGTTCTGCGCTTTATTAATTTCTATGAAAGGTCCGGAGTGACCATTCAACGTTTCTCACCGACTAGGTACATCTTCTTGTTGATGATGGCCGTTCCATGATGGAAACGAGACTGTGGTAGGTTGGTATAGTGTGACCACTGGTTCTTCACCGAGTTGAATCTCTCTACGGTCTTCACTGTAATATAATTATGTTCTTCAAATTCACTTGTACCAAATAAAAACATATTATTCGTTGAACTTTCCTTTCATGTCTTAAAATCTACATCACTGTATATTAATTTTTCTCTGTTCCATAAAGACTGGGTTCTATCTCATACCCTACCTTGTTCAATCGACGCTTGACGCAATTTGATTCGTGTCTGTACGATTCTCTACCATAGTACGAAGCAAACATTGATGTAATGTTAGGTTAGTTCAACCATGGGCATTGATTGCCACTAATACTATTGATATGAAATCGGCTTTGCTAAAAAGCATTCGGATGTTATATATATGTAAGATTATTATCGTCTATTTCATGACATCACTTCAGTGGTATAAACATTGTTTTATGGGAAACTTCATAAAAATTCAAATATAATTGTATTGGACTATATGGATCTTATCATACGCATTCAACATTGTAAACCAATGTGAAAGTTTCGTGCCAAATCTGGAACCTTCGACTTCTTCATTGTAAGAGACGATACATCTGCGTTTTTACGAAATGTAACGAAGATTCTCAAGTCTTCACACGATATGATGAACAAGACATCAGACGTGCTCTTAGCCTGATTTGCTATTTATTTATTTTCATAGTTTTTGTAAAACATAAACATAAAACATGTATTTAAAACAATAAATAAAAGTGTTTTTTTGTTTGTTAATTTTGCTTGTGTTATCAAAACATTTTTAATTTTAATTCCACATGAAAGCTTGAAAGGATAATTTGTAGCAAAAGATAGTTTAACCAATAAGCAGGGCGGACGTTTTCAGTGACCAGTAACCAATAAGCAGGGCGGACGTTTTCAGTGACCAGCTTTTAAATGCAGATCACATAGATACCATTGGTTGGTTTACTTAATTTTTGACTACCATGGATTTTCACACACTACATAAAAATGCCTGCAAACAAAATTTTAAGTGATACAAAATCTACAATGCAGACATTCATCCCAAATGGAAATTAGTTAACAAAAAGGCCAGGCGGATTCATTCATCATTGATAACGAATTCTTAGTCTTACTATCTAAAACAAATCGAAAAATGTTACGATAGCAACCGAACATGTGGGATGTTGAAATTGTTTTTTCATAAAATTCTTAGGAACGATATCACTAATGTACGTGCAATGTATCTCATGGTTAAACAGATAGTTTAGCACAATGAAATCAGTAACAAACAATTCATCTGTGTGGTTATCCAAACCAGTACCACTCTCAGACAGCTCATCTGTGTGGTTATCCAAACCAGTACCATTCTCAGACAGCTCATCTGTGTGGTTATCCAAACCAGTACCATTCTCAGACAGCTCATCTGTGTGGTTATCCAAACCAGTACCATTCTCAGACAGCTCATCTGTGTGGTTATCCAAACCAGTACCATTCTCAGACAGCTCATCTGTGTGGTTATCCAAACCAGTACCATTCTCAGACAGTTCATCTGTCTGGTTATCTTAACCTGTATCGTTCTCAGACAGCTCATCTGTCTGGTTATCCGAACCAGTACCGTTCTCAGACAGCTCATCTGTCTGGTTACTCGAACCAAGACCGTTATCAGACAGCTCATGTGTCCGGTTATCCGGATAATTGACAGCACCAGAAAACTTACCTGTTCGATTATCTTTGGCCTTAGTGAACTTCTGGAACGCTCCCACAGCAATAATGTCTCCTGTCTTAGACACGTAAGAGGCATCCGTAGTAACGCCTAATTTTGGTGTGTGCTCCACCTCCAGCTTCACATTTCTCATGGAATGAGAACTCTGAGAAAAAAAGTTATTTCAGTGTTGTTTTCTGTGTATGCGGTACCGACACGTGACTTTTCAGACTGTGTCAGGTTTAATATTAATAATGATTGAGAGATGACAGTCACTAGATGTAAATAGAGTGGGATTACATCCACAACATCATACTCAATTTATTTTGTTAAACATGCGCAATTAGAATTTTGCAATGAATATTTGAATTTTGGATTAGCAGCTGACTTAATGCAAACAATGCCACTACATACGATACCAGTTCAATATCACCATCTAGCCCTGAGCCCCAACATGGTTAGAGTTCGTCATTATACAACCAGTCGAAATATTATCAGTACTTTGTACATTCCTGGGTGACGTGTTTCCAGAATCGAGGATAAACGCTCCCCACCCCAATCCCCTCTAACCCAACCCACCCTTCCTCGAAAATTCAATAGACGAATGAAATATAAATGAAATTAAGCTGTGTACATGACTTTTCGTGTTTGTGATGAATTACCTACCAAGTAGACACTGCTGGCTTTCTTTGTCCTCAGGTTCTGAGGGTCGGACAGTGCTGTCCTTGGGTGGACCATGGGGATGTTTAGGGGGTCGTCCCGGTGTAATTCACTAGCAGACACTAACCTAAACAATAGATACGTTTTGGCTCTTTCTAGTGGGTCAAAGTTAACCATGGGATGGGTCAAAGTTTTTTCAAAACGGTATGTATATTTCTGTTGCTAATTTGAACCGAAATCTACGCGATTGCAACAATGTAATTGAGACTGACCTTGTTAATCATGTCTCCCAATAAAAACAAATGGTAACATTCACAGGTAAATACAAGAATGCATAAAATTATTATATAACAGTTCTAGAACACGTCAAAACAAGAAGAACGTTTTAGAGGGCGTTTCGATAACTACACTTCCATTAAACATTTTACGAAAATTTCCACAAATGTTTACTTGAAAACATGAACAATAATTAGTCATATATACCAATTTGCGTGTAGAATGGCGTTCCTTGTTTCTTGGCATTCCCTGAGAAGATCTGTGACCTCGAAACACCGGAAGAGTTCCTCATGAGTCATGTATGGGAATCGCACACACGACATGACCTTGGACAGGTGTCGGTGTCGATCGTTCATGTCATGTGCTATCCATTTCAAGGCCACTTGAAACACCTCTATCTCGGAGGTGATATTAAGGTCATCACGTGATAGGATCATACACAAGGTATTTACATCGAGAAGAAAAAAGGATGTGTGATCCAAAACATCAGGGAACTGTGTACTCACGTGAGAAACACATACGTCATACAGGTCACTGCACGTGACCACTCGACCACTCTGCAGGACTGAAAGAGATTTCTCTAATGGCATACTCATCATAAACTCAGCACATTTGTCTTCAAGTAATGGTACGTTGAGGTGTTGTGCAATCACAAGAAGATCAGCTACTAGCAATGGAGTGATCTTTAAATTCCCTGTGTAAATCCAATCAAGGAAGACAGAGAATGACCTTGACGTCACTCCGCGAAGCCGAATTACTACTGGTACCTTCTGTTTTTCTGCTCCTTTGAAGAAAACATGCGAGAAGTATTCACTGAAGCAGGCCAGTGCTACACGATGGGCCATGAACTTGGACGTTTCAACGTGAATTTCTACATCGCATATCTGCTGGTTTTCTTGGAGGAACTTCATATACTCGCCGATGTTTGAGAAATGGGTGAGCTGATCGACTGGCAGACTCTGTAGACGACATAGTGCATTTGACAGGCAAGGAGACATGTGTCTTTCGTCTCTATTAATCAGTCTAAGCATGTGATCCAGGTCTGCTTCATGGTTGACAGGAGAGAGAGTGTTAAGATCATCAAGGACCATGATAAGCCCTTTTCGAAATTTCGGTGTACCTGTCTTCTGCACTTCCGGTGTAACTCTCGAAATCTGTCTGGTGGTCATAGCATTCTCAACTTGGTATGCGCCTAGAAAGAGGAAGTTCAATTTATACATGTACTTAATTAATCGTAATCCCCATGGAAATAATCTAACGGGTGTCCTTATGAGTCGAGGCATTCAATGTGAACAGCGCACAAGAGATATTGCTGTCTGTGATATGTGTCGACCGTTATCAGGCATGAAATGATATATTTTACAATCTCTTGGAGGTGTTACAGTGAAAAGAAATATCTTCTCATTACAGCAATGCCTGTATATGTAACCTTATATACAGTAGTTGTATTCAGATTACTATAATTTCGGGGAAGAAACAACAGAACAGTAGAAACATGCTTCAGCCATACATACAACCCATCAACATTTCAAAACTAAAATGAAAGGTTGCAATCATAGAGCTAACCTTTAATTGGCGTGGATGTCCTGGGGACGTTCTGACAGTCATTCGAACAAATCGATTCATCGAAGATTACACTTCGAAAGTTGTCCGATATTCCAGAATCGGTTGTGATACACCGACACTTCTCATTCCCCGACATGGCAACACATCCGGTCCGGTTACAGGTCATCACCGGCTGCCCTTTACTCGCCAACATTGGCACCTCAGCGTACCTCTTTGACTTGGTGCCTTTCTGAGTGTATGACTGTGGCTCTATGCTCTCGGACAATTCCTCAAGTTCGGCTGCAAGTGAGCGCTCCAACTCGCTATTTGTGACATTAGGCGGAACGAAACAATCGGTCATTCCTCCAGATTCATTGTGTTTTTGTGATTGTTCCCATTCCTCTTGTGGATTGAGACCATGGGTCGAACTTAGACACGTGAGACTGTCCTTCGTGTAATAGGAGGAAAAATTAAAACGAGGCATCTCTGCGGTGTATTTCCATCTATTGCCGTATATGAAACGCGGGTCTTTATGACTCGTGTCGCGAAGCAGTAACTGGCCGCATAACAACTGATGACGTCACAATTAGAATATCATTTACCGTGAATGTGCGCGCAGGAACAATGACCGCGCTTGCCATTATTGGGTTCTTACCACTTGTAACGTTTCGAGTCTGCTACTAAATTAGGATGTGTGTGCCGTTCCGGACGAAACGAACATACATGTACTCCGCTTATGTGATCTAATCCCTCGCAGGAAACCCAAGACTAATATATACACATATATTACAATTTATTACAATACACTTAACTATTTCAGAATTTACTTTTCTTCATCAATATTGTTGAGTCACGTCAGGATCATTCATCCGGATTCTGCACTTCGGAACACCGTTGACGGCGACTTTACATTACAGTGGACCCCACTAGTCCGGAAATGTCATCACGAACTCAGATTTTTTTAGATTGTCACGTGACCCGATACTTTCAGCTTTAACATAACATTATATGTGGACAAAATGTTTTAAAGAAATTTAAAAAAAACGAATGCAGTATTACACATGACACCATTTTGTGATTATTATAACTAATTCTAATTTTTCTATCAATCATCATAAAAAATACCTTAAACCTCTTTAACATGGACAGTCAGTTCTCTCCTGTGTTGTAATTAAACAAGGAATGTGGTGTTGAATTAGAAAACTTTCATGTAAGACAGACATGCTGTTTGTGTTTCTATTGACTTGTCAATACAGGGCAGCTGAGATAAAAAAAAAGCGCTGTGTCTGAGTAGTCATAGACATACATATAGGGAATTGTCCATTGACAGTCTAAGTGTTCGTATAAATGGCCAACTTTCAACCAAGGCCAATAAAACTGGCTGTAGTAACGCGCTGTTGACACGAAACAATCCCGATTGATTATTCATGAAATGTAAACTCAAGGACGGGAATATAACACAGATCATTTTAACTGTAAATCGCCGAGAAGTCAGGATTATATTTGCCGGTGTACAGTAATGTGACGCACTGATCAATCTACCTGTGTATTTCTTTCACTTATATTTTGTCGGAAGAGGTAGCATTGACAGGTAAGTGGAAACCGTTGTGTAAAACTAGAAGTGTTAATATGTTATTTATACTGTCTTAGAGATATCATAACTTAGAGACCGTCTCGAAGAAAATTACTTTACAGAGTTCAGCTAACTGCTGGTGTTCGGTTTCAGAAACCTTGAAGGTTTTAAAATATTACCTAGTGGGGTTTACCTGTTCTAGTCAGGACATTGTTTATCATTGAGCCTACGTTTCCCTGGTAGCATTGGGTGAATGCTACCCGAGGGGGCTGATGTTTACCTTATAAGGTTAGAGCATTTTGACCGAACGTGCTGATGTTTCCCTGGTGGGGTTTGGGGAAAGGTGCACGAAGGCATTGCTGTATACATTGTGGGGTTAGGACATGTTGTCCGGAAGTATCGATGTTTACCTTGTGGTGTTAGAAAATTTTGCCCGGAAGTAACGATGTTGATCCTGTGGGGTTAGGGAATGTTACCTGATTGGACTGATGTTGACCCTGTGGGATTAGGACATGTTGCCCGGAAGTACTGATGTTGACCCTGTGGGGTTAGGGAATGTTACCTGATTGGACTGATGTTGACCCTGTGGGGTTAGGGTATGTTACCTGATTGGACTGATATTTACCCTGTGGGGTTAGAGTATCTCTTTTTTTAATTTTTCTTAGTGGAGTTAGACAAATTTCCATAAATTGATCCGTTTCACAGGATGTGTTTTATCTCTTAGGACATACCATGAAGTTGTTGATATTTTATAGTAAAATCATAAAATAGTAGTTCGGATTGTTACTTAGTTGTGTATGAAGAAACGTGAACAATTCACGACAGTTTGCCAGATTTGTAACCAACGGACGACAGGTATATAGATAGGAATTTGCATGTTCGCCAGTGACCACCACATTGACCACTGGTCAGTTCTGTTTACCTTACTCTGTCTAAGTTTACCGAAGTATAAGTGTATTTAATCTCTATATCCATATTTGACCGAATTAATTTCCTACTATATATATAAACACACCGTAACCGCCTTTATCACAGAATTTGTTACACATTAAATAGGCTTTAAGCGACACATGACACTTTGTACTTAAACACACTACGGTAAGAACGGTTGGAAAGATGGATTCATACAACTCCTTTTCAAATGATTTTAATTTCATATTTTTTCGCTGGCGGCTTTACGTAATACGTAATAAGTCGTTTGGTTGAGTGAACATCAACAGTGATTCCTTAAATCAAGAAACCATTAGCGGTATATATGTGTATACTTATAAGATATTGCTAGTGAAAGTCCGACATGTAAGAAAGCCTAGCCAGGCGTTGATAATGAGGAAAAACATATACGAGACCCTATACTTATCGACTAGAACAATTATTATTACAGTCAAGATATTTTTATAGAAATACTTTCCATTTAAATCTACCTATTCTATCTCCTCCTGGCTTGAGTCCAATATCGCCATGTCGCTGTAGACAACATAATACAACTATGATATTGTTGGTGGTGTCTTCCATAGCGATGAAAGGAAAAACGTTTTGTGTCGAAAACAAACGCATACAAAATTCAACAATGTGATGTCAGGTATTGTAGAATACTAAACACTATAGCGGTAAAGACATAGCTTCAATAGTCACCGATATCTAGCAATAGCTTTGAAATACTGTCATTTTAAATATGTTCTCACAAGATCTATAGACTGTTTCACTGATGTGTTTCTTAATATAGACCTATAATACTAGTAGTATGTAAACTGTATCATAACATATCTACGGCTGATGGATATTCACGGTTTAATCGACTTAAAGAAATTACTACTAAGGCTTTCTTATTATATCCGGTTTGAACACTTTAAGTCATTGCCAACCGTATCAGATTTATAATATACCAGCGTAGACTTTTGATTACTCGACGATCTCGATATAAAAAGCTGTTAAAAATACGTTTGATTTTACCGTTGTTAGTCGTCTTGGCGACAAAGCGGGATATGGTCCTTTTAACTACTAATACGTCATCTTTGAGGAAAAATAACCCAGGCATTTTTATTGCATGAAAGCGATGATATTTTCTTCCTCATGCTGGCGACAATCTGAATGGGTTACCAGGCGATGTTTTATTCGGACGCGATTTTTTCAGTTAGGGTAAAATATCTCAATCTTCTACTAAACTGGATCCAAGCCGGACGTATTTATTCGGTACGAACCAAACATTAACGAGAGCTAAGCCGGAAGTGGCAAACGCGTGAGCCAAAAGAAAACATCAGTTGATGTAAGTGAAAACACGTTTTCCTTTTTTCGTGGAGTTCTGTGTCAATCTACTTAAACATTGAGAATATAGACCTACCATTTAACACGATATGGCAAAATTCAGCTCAGGGTCCGGTTGTTCAACAATTGGTTACAGATGACCAGTGGTTACCGAAATTTTAAATATAAATTAAACGAAATAAGGAACATGACTTATCAATTTTACATAAGTAGGTTTGTTGAAACAGGTCAGATGGCTATATTTTAGTGTTAATTTTGTTTTTATACTCTTATTTGCTCAGTGCCAGAAATTAGATTTTTTTCACTAATCACTGGTCAACTCTAGCGCTATACAATGAACAACCGGGGCTGAACAGTTTATAAAATGATACAATCATGAGAGCTGTGGATACAGTCGTGTGTTTGTGTTCTTTTCCCACCTAGACAGAAGGATAAATGGATATATCTTCCCTCGGTCCTACCCTAAAGCTAGGGAATGATCGTATCGGTCTACATCCCCTACTCTCTGGATAACTTGAACAAGGGGAAATAACTGCCATTTGAACTCAAATGCAACTTTGTCAAATTTATTAAGTTAGTGCGATAGCCAATGCGGACACACATGTAGTCATACCCACAAAGATCAGACACGACTAAAACAAACAAACAACCAAGTGCTGACCATCACTTAAGCGTGAAACGCTGAAGTTTCTAAGTAAACGGTTTGACAATAGATTTAAGATTCCACGTTCAGTATACGAGGAGAAAATGTGTAGTTTTATTTTTCATGGATCTAACGTCTTCGCAACAGCCAGGGTCATAATGTACCCTTATCTATCGTCAGATGTGCACACCAATCCCCTAGAATAAAAACATTCTTCACTAGAACAAAGCAGGTCAGCTCCCGATACAAAAAAATTACACTCAGCACAAATCTTGTTTAAAAGTTTGACTGATATCGACATTCACTGACAGGTAAAGTTCATTTTATTGTCAATGGTGCAGACAGACAAAAGACACTATAACACAGTAACGGGTTCTTTGCGAAATTGTTCACGGCGTTCCTTCTCGGCGAGAACATGTTTCACTCTGTCACTAATGCATTCTTTGACTTTATACATGAAAAAGAAGAACGTGTGTATTAAAGGTACTCCTAACAACGTTAATAATGCTGACGTCACAAGTGACGTTTGCCAATCGTTTGCCCAGTCAAGGATGAAGAGATAGATCGGTCTACTGTCACCGGTCCAGAACAATACCAGAGTAAATAATAAATATAACAGACCTAAGACCACACTGTATATCGCGTGCAGTAGTCGCACGGGGATGGGGCCGAGCACGTGATCAAGGCCGATAATAACGACGTTTATGGCGTGAGTCTGAAGGTTCATATTGCTGATGCCTTCCTGGTGGCTCAACCTCGGCCACAGGAAGACAAAGAAGACGAGCATGACCATAAGAGCAGCATTAGATGCCAAACCGTATAGAGCCCACGTGATCTTAAAATACCACTGTAATGTCTTCCGTCTAGATGGAACCAAATGGTTTTCCGTATTTTTAAATTCGGAACAAACTTCTTCTGAACGCATCACTTCTGATAAAATGATGCCATCCATACGTTCCTGCGGCACATCTGTTTCAGTATCACTGGATGGAACTCTCCAGTAGAACTTAGGCTGACGACACACGTGGAAGGACACGGCCAGTGCGTACAAGAGTAAGTACAGTGTGAGAATTAAGTACGCCCAATGAGACAAATACACAGGCCAAACGTGAATCAGCTCCTGATGCGCGGTCAAGGCCGTAAATTCCATGCATGTGACCAACAACCAGAACAAGGCATACAGCGCGAGGACCACTCGGTATACAGCGTACAGGAAAGGAGGCCATGGAAACTACAACAAATCACATACATCTTAAAACAACAAGTATTTTAAACATGAATGGTCTTGGAAGGCGGGCTTTACAGATTCATATCTCTAAGTGGCATATTTAGTCACGACAATATTACATGTTTTGCGGATATTTGGAAGTCATTCATATGATACTCACTTTAATAGTTTGGAAAACAATTTTGTTATGTTTTCTTTCTATAATCTATTTATTTATTTATATTTTGTTTGTTTAATTTTTCCCTGTGTTTTTCTTTCTGTAATCTATCTATCTGTTTATTTATATTTTGTTTGTTTAATTTTTCCCTGTGTTTTTCTTGCTGTAATCTATCTATCTATTTATTTATATTTTGTTTGTTTAATTTTACGCTTTTTCTTTCTGTAATCTATTTATTTATTTATATTTTGTTTGTTTAATTTTTCCCTGTGTTTTTCTTTCTGTAATCTATCTATCTATTTATTTATATTTTGTTTGTTTGTTTAATTTTGCCCTGTGTTTTTCTTTCTGTAATCTAGCTATTTATTTATTTATATTTTGTTTGTTTGTTTAATTTTTCCCTGTGTTTTTCTTTCTGTAATCTAGCTATTTATTTATTTATATTTTGTTTGTTTTTTTAATTTTTCTCTGTGTTTTGTTTTCTCTCCACATTCATTTTTTGTCGATTTCCAAGGCGGTAATATTTGATATGTTGACTTACATGTAAAACGTATCTAATCCAGTTGAAACTACGAACGTCAGCTATACGTTGGCTATAACGGTGGTTTCATGACCCAACAGCATGGCCATGTATTGTAGCATGGTTTGAACATGAGGCCCAAGGGGCCTACATCGCTCATCTGGCGAAGTTAGCTACATGTATTTAGCCATTTAATAAAGAATTTCAAATATGAAAAATAATTTCTGATCAAATTTCCCTACTTGGTCCCGGTGGTCTTGTGGTCTAACAAAAGTTTGATTCGATATTCATACAATTTCCTTCAGACCAAATTTGGATAATAAAAGAAGGCTGTTTAAAACTAACCTTCCCCCAGTTTAGCCCATCCCCCATCCCGCTCTAGGAGGCCAGGATGTACCGTTATTACAGAATGGATTTCTCTTCACCCAAGAATACTTCAGACACTATTTCAAAGAAGTTGCAAAATTTCCCATTTTGGGCCCCGCTCCTATGGCCCCAGGAGGTTAGAACCAATCTTTACATAAACTATGTTCCGTTTCTCTCGAGGATACTTCTTACCAAAATTCTGACCATAAAGCATCACCCTTCGCATGTGTACAACAAACAATACCCTTCACAATTGTAAAACAAACATCACCAATTGGCTCACTGGGTCTTGCCTAAACACAAAGCTGAAGGTTTTGGAGACAATTAGCAGTTTTGCTTTTAAGTGTTAAAGATGACTCCTCAAAACTTGGCGTACAAAATCTTGGCATCATTTCTATACCTTTCGAATGCAAAAAATGACTATGTGAAAATTTTACGGTTTCCAAACGAACTATAATTCTACTACCGTTCTAGATTTTTCAGTAAAATACCCCTTTCTTAAAGGCTAAATGGTATTCCCAGCGGCCACGGAGTTTGCAATGTTGCTTGAGCTACTCTTAACATTACAATCATAACGACCACTTATTTCTTATTTTCATAGCATGTTTTCACTGTTTTTGCCCCACCCATCGCCTAAGTGGTTGGGGACTGCGAATTTCCCAATTTTAATGTCCCGTTCAAGTATTGATGCTGGTGACTACGTTTGGTTTATCTCTGCCAAGCGGTTCTTGAGAAGGTGAAAATGTTTTCGAAAATTTCACAGACCACGGACGACGATAGACAAAAGACGATGTTAATTGGTCACTGAAAACATCACCGTTCACACAAGCATCCTAAAAAAAATACAAGAGTACCATTCACGTGTGTGCAGCGGTTATATAACCAATCTCAAGTGTGCAACAAACATACCTTATCCACGTGCACAGCACATTAACTTGCACATGTGAACAAAAATACTGTCTTCCCTGACGAAAAAAAGCGTCATCCGTCACACGTATAAACAAACACTACTTTTGCACATGTATAATAAATACCAGCATTAAAACGTGTAAAACTGATAGGCATTACACATTAGACATTCTCACGCGCAGCTAACCTCGCTACCGGTGTAACTGCAATTTATCTTGCGCAATAATTTGGTCCGGGCTCCTTTCTGAAATAGACCTACGGGATTCGGCGTCATCAGCCATAGATTCTAATTCTAACCGACATGCCTGACTTGGCTGAGTGCCACAAACACAACTGTTGCATCCCCAAGGTGAACTGTCTGACCCCAATAACCTCCATAAATTGTCATGGTAACCTTCACGTGAATGAGCATCATCTTACTGCGATAAATGACATGTGCACGACAGCATGGACAATTTGACTCTATGGTCCTGTTGTAATAGAGTAACTATCGCCCTGTTTACAAAACGTCAATATATGTGTACATACCCTGTTTAGCTGAATGCAATCGCCTTAGGATAGGGTATAGATTTTTTGCTCTTATCGAATGTGTAGTGTCTGTTAGGTTCGTTAAAATGTACATACATGTAGTTATCATACCAACAGCTACATTTTGAATCGATGCTAGCTATCTTTCACGATAATGCACAGCCCTGTATCTAGTCACAAGGGTATTCACACGAAGTCGTCTGCTCTTATTCATATACAAAATTAAAATGCCTTGTGTGTATGTAGTGTATGTACACTCTGTATAAGTACATATAATTATGTTTTATACAACTATATATAACTATGTGCTGTTGTCACTTACGTGGAAGCGCGTAAATTGATTCGGGTGCACTCCCCCAAACCCTAGGTTCCTCAGCTCGAACTCCCGACGCACATGCTGACAGCAGGAAGACATCTCTGTACCACTTTCTTCCTGTTGGCAGGGTTACTAGCGGCCAGGAACACGTACGCACACGACACCAATTTGATGGTTCGGGTTCAGTGCACCTGTTGCATGAACAATTAAAAAACGTCGCCGGCTTAATAGGCATTCCTGTCATTCATACTGGTGTTGGTTGAATGAAACATGATCGCTGTCGACCGATACTACATCGATTGGCAAGATCGCACGAGAACTGAGCTATAATTAGCCGCTGTGTGAGGGACCATTGTGGACAGTGCGAGGTACGGGTGAGCAACAGAGGGCGGGTGTATTTGGTTACTGAGTTAATCATATCACCACATCAGGTTAAAGCTACATATTAAATAGGGCATCGTCCCGGAGGATGATGTGAATGCTCACTTATGTGTGGGATATACCTGTGTACATAAGTAGGTCGAGTCATATTTAAATAACAATATGTAACAAAATAATACTATTTAAATCAACTCTTATATTTCGTGTACCCTTTGATAAATCACATCCTCGCAGTAAAGTGTATACAGGATTGGTACATTGATGCTACACGTTTACTGAACAATATTTAATCATGATGGAAATAGGAATAAGTTTTAGTGTTGATGTATACCGGGTGGGTATATTAAAATGTCTCACTGCATCATTTTTTTTTTAAATATATTTTTTTCAGGTTGCTAATGTCAATAGAATAGAAGTTCTTATAACACAACCAGTTGAAGATTAGAGTGTGACGTTTCAATGACTACACGGTCATCTTCATCATAAAGTGAAGTCACGGGACCAATAAAGTGATGTGGTGTCCGATAAAGTGTAGTGGGTGAACTTCTTTGTTGAGAATGAAGAGTGTTGCAGTGTTGAGTGGAGATGAAGAAATCCAAACGCTGTTTAGGTTGATGTAAATTTATTGTGTGTAGACATAGAGGTGGTACACTCGCATGCCTTCAGGAACCGAATCGACGACTGGCTAGAAACCTAGTCGTATTTATACTAAAAGTCGTAGACATTGATAATCTAATATTACATATTTGCTAACAAGAAGTGGATAACACATGAGTTATTTACATGGTCTAATGCACACACATAGTGGTAGATTAGGTGGTTTACGACAAGCTAAGGTTTTGCTGACCTGTCCTGCTAGACGGTATTGGTAAGCTTATGTAATTAACCCGGGAGCGAATGTATACTGGACATGTGTGATAGATTATTAACAGAAAGTATGTTCTGGCTTCTGGACAACACGTCTGACTTATGTCTAGTAGAATACAGTTTTGGGTAGTTTAATTTAACTTACATATTAACTTTTAATAGTTCATTCGTCCCTTTGTATAAAATTGATTTCAAATTAGTTATAATTTTGACATCATCTATGAAAATATTAATAGTTCGTTACGTCCCTTTGTAATAAAACCATGAATAACCATGAAACTTGCTTGTTAACGATGTACATTTTGATAAAAAACGAAGAGAAGAAAAAAAAACAAGTGGATAGTAAGGCTTTCGCTCGACTTTGATAAATTTCAATTATCGACAAATGTTTTCATTGTGCTGTGTTACAATTAATGAATGAAAAAATATGTAAATATACTTAGTTACGACGTACCACCGTCTGTTATGCTAAGTCATGACGTCACGCTCACAATAAGGCTATGACTAGTACAATTGATGAGAAAATGAAATAAAATCAGAAAGTTCCTTATCATTAAGTTATTGATATTAAATGTATCGGGAATGTGTCATCCGCATAGAAATATGTATTTGTGTAAATATGTCTTATGAGTAACAAAGTCTTTCATATGAATATTGTGCGTGTACAACCACGTCACTGACTTTGACTCTGACATAAAATGGTAGAGTTTAAACATTTAAATCCTCGTGTAATATCACGTAGGCGAAACTCTCCAAATAGTATGTGAATAAAAGTTGTGTGAATATATTGAAAACATAATTGATTTGGAACTCTCTAAGGATAATGATATGTAAAACAGCACAATTTGTAACATTTCAAGATAACATTTCAAAAAAATAAAAAAAATAGATCATTGAGATCTGATAAAACTAGTAATTGAAAACTTTTGTAAATCATAACGATTAATTATTGTTATTACCCGATTAAGGGATGGTTCCTTATAATTAATAGACATAAATATATAAAATACTACTTAAGATGTAACATACATAGGTAATGTACGAGGTCAATATAATATTTAGATATAAAAACTTACATGTAATACATGCAATTTTACAATATTTGCAATAGAATAAACATAAAAGTATTGTGTACTTATAAAGAACTGAGAACGAAAGGCAATAATAAATTGATATTACAGTTATTATATGAATAGTACAGTTCGAAATATTAATAAGACAGTTCAATCACTCCACAAGTTGATAGTTCCACACGGCGAAGGTTCCAAATACAGGTGTTTAGAATAAGGCAAGTCTTGACGAAGAGGCCAAATAAAAGTAATGTTCATCACATGATGAGTCTTGTAAATATGAAAATGACGAAAAGTTCTTGGTTGACGTACTACCGTCTAGACGTGATATCTCGCACAAAAAGGTTGAGACAAACGATGAAGAGTTAATGATAAAACAATACAAAGTTCGTCGTTAGAGGTAAAATAATAAATACGATTCTGATCAGGAAACGAAGACTTCTTCTGTCTTTCCGGCATTAAACTGCATCGGATGATTCCTGTCTGTCGAAATATTGTTGAGTTCTACTAGATGTGTCGTATGAGATACAGAGAATTACATTTTTGTGTGTGTTAAACCACATCACTAACTCTGTCTCAAACACATTATGGTAGAGTTTAAGAAAACAATGGTCACTCCATGTTGAATATCACGTAAAGTAAACTCTCCATAGTAGAAAAACTTGTAAAATAAGGATGATGTTGGAAATAGTGTCTCTTTTGACGAGAGGACAAAACGGCGAAATTTAACGAAAAATAAATGTAAATGTCAACATGTTTGATGAATATTTCTACACTGGCTCTTCTTCAATTCTTGGTGGTGGAAGTATGTTTTGTAGGCGTGGATAGAGCTGTGCTGGATACATGGGTGGCATCAACGGCTGTGTTAGTTGTTTTTCTGCTACATCCGCTGGACTGGAATATTTTGGTTTGTGTCCGTCTTGATCATTTTGGTCAATGGCGTTCGATTTCGTAAATTGACGTTTTGTCTTTTTCCGCAAGAAACATTTGAACCATACACAAAATATACTAAAAAATACTAAAACTAAGCCTAAACACGTGAAAATAGGAATAAAATACTGTTTATAATCCCAAAGATTACTTTCAAATGGTTCAATTTCTGATAGTTGCTGAATTAAAGATTTCATTGGTATTTTTTCCATTGTTTGTAACTTATGTGGAATAGTAACATTAGAATAGTTTGGAAATTTATCTTGGAATGGCTTCCATAAAGAACTAAATGAAATATTTAATACTTGTTGTGTTGTAATGATATGATTGTGGCTTTGGGTGTCTGTGATGGTTGTTTGTACCCCTGTGGCGATAGTGTTGTGTAGACTTGTGTGAATTTGTTGCGTAAGAAGTCTGGTGACCAGAGGGATTATGATGGTGTCGGTATGTAGACTGTTGATCTGGGTAAGTGTGATATTGTGATTTGTGACTTGTGGTATGTTTCTGTGGTCGAGTTCCTGTGGAGTGTGAATTTCTGTTGTCATGCGTATAAGTGTTTATGGATCTTACCCGTGTAGCGTCTATTTCTATTGGTTCTTCATCTCTACATGTGTAAGTGTGTGTGTTGTAAGGAGCTGTGTGTATTTGTGATGGGAATTGTGTATTTTCTATCATGGCACAATCTACAGCTTTAAGTAACTGGATGGCATATTCAGTTGAAGATTGGGTGTGTTGATTTTCTTCCATTATAGATTTAGAAAAAGACTTATTATAATAAAAGAAACATGTATGTATATATGTATATATTAATAAGTAAGTAAAAAAAATGACTTAGGTTCAAATGTTTCTACGGATAAAAAGATAAAAATCAATTCACTTACCTTACGAATGACCGGTGATCGTAGTGAAGCGGTGTCCGAGGTCACGGCGCCAATAAAGTGAAGTCACGGGACCAATAAAGTGATGTGGTGTCCGATAAAGTGTAGTGGGTGAACTTCTTTGTTGAGAATGAAGAGTGTTGCAGTGTTGAGTGGAGATGAAGAAATCCAAACGCTGTTTAGGTTGATGTAAATTTATTGTGTGTAGACATGGAGAGGTGGTACACTCGCATGCCTTCAGGAACCGAATCGACGACTGGCTAGAAACCTAGTCGTATTTATACTAAAAGTCGTAGACATTGATAATCTAATATTACATATTTGCTAACAAGAAGTGGATAACACATGAGTTATTTACATGGTCTAATGCACACACATAGTGGTAGATTAGGTGGTTTACGACAAGCTAAAAGGTTTTGCTGACCTGTCCTGCTAGACGGTATTGGTAAGCTTATGTAATTAACCCGGGAGCGAATGTATACTGGACATGTGTGATAGATTATTAACAGAAAGTATGTTCTGGCTTCTGGACAACACGTCTGACTTATGTCTAGTAGAATACAGTTTTGGGTAGTTTAATTTAACTTACATATTAACTTTTAATAGTTCAATCAGAAAAATTACCAGTGTGGAGCGTACCAGCTCTGACGTACGTAGTGTACGAGATGGTACGGAATCGACCGACTTTTTCGGCTGTATTATAATACCATGTACACGAAGGTCGAAAATATTGTGACGAGACAAAAATACACCAGATGGTAACTATGTGCTGTAGTCAATTCGGCTACGCTTTGTTGAACACTTGTTTATAGAGAGTCGGTGGCCCCCCTCGTCCCTATTTAGTACTGGACCGCTGCGGCGTATCCATATTGCTTCCTTAACCAAGCCAACACCAACACACCCTTTGACAAAGAGCATATCGAAACAACACCGATCTCCATATCCTAGACTTCATGGATTTACTTGAATTTGTGCTTACAAACACACTTAGCCTTCTGAGGAACTCGGAAGAAGGCTGTAGCCTCGACCCCCGCAGAATGCAAACCCAGTCTGTGAAAGCGGTATGTTGATACATATTGGAAACAGTTAAAAAGGTTCACAAAAAGATTTTACTGGGCATATCAATACCGTAGATACCACAAACAGCATCAAATTCACCTGTGAGGTAGAAATCAATGGCACTATGCCATTCCTCGACACCCTCCTCGTAAAGAAAGATG